ATCTCCACAAGAGTATCTCCCTTGAATTAGAGACGTAAACACAGAGGCTTTTTCTCCACTGTTGCTAGTTCATGTTTACGACTATTGTCACCTATGTTGGTTTCAATGAACTTCTCTGGATATCCGTTCTCGGTTAGAATGTCCCGGATGACCTGGAGTTCTTTCTCTACGCAGTCTTCGGAACAAATAGACCTCGCTCTAAATCTTAAGCACCTGATTAGATTACGTTTTTATTTCATCGGTACGAAGCTAAGGAAGTGTGTATACTGAGCTTTGGTCTCTAGCTTTCTAAATATGGTTCTTTTGACGGAACCATCCTCTCTTCTCGTTAGTAGGACGTCGAGGAAGTGTAGAGAGTCGTTTTATTCTCCTTTGTAGGTGAAATGGACCGCTGGGTGAGCATTATTGAAGTTGTTCAAAATCAAACCACTACTTAAGCCTTCATCGTACACTACAAAAGTGTCATCCGTGTGACGACCGATACATTTTCATTTTTGCTGTTTTCTCTTTCAACGGACTATTTTTTAGTTTTGCTAGAAATATATTTGGGAAAATAGGTCCCAGTGGGGATCCTATGGCTACTCCATCAACCTGTCTGTATATTTCATTATTAAACAGGAACTGAACATTCGTTGTACATTTAACAAGTAGTTGTTTCAGATTACAGATAGGAATATCAGTGCACAATTTCCTTTCTATAGTCTGTTTGCAGATATAATCGATGGTTTCCACTAGAGGCACATTAGTGAATAGAGATGAAACATCAAGTGATGCCATGTATTCGCCAGTTGCATTCAAGTTTTTGATCTTATCAATAAATTCAAAGGTATCCTTGATGCTATGCTTCACTAACTCGCCATGCAAGGATTGAAGTAGCTGTACCAGCCACTTTTCCGTCTCGTGATAGGGTGAAAGAGACATATCTAGTATGGGGCGTAGGGGCACTTCTGATTTATACACTTTCGGTAGACCATATATACGTGAGATGGTGCTCTCTGTGGGTTTTATGTTTTCGAAAGTTTTTGGTGATACATACCCTTTACCCTTCAAATCCTTTAATAAGTTTGTTATCTCTCTCTCCACTTTCTCCGTATGATCTTTCATTGCTTTCGGCTTCTGAAACTTGCTGCCGTTAGCTAGTATGGAGTTCATCTTGTTGATGTAGTCCTGCCTATCCATAATTACAATTCCCGGTCCCTTATCCGGCCTGGTAATAACTATGTTTTCATTTCGTCTTAGTCTTTTAACAGCTTCTCGATGCTCTTTTGTGAGTATACTGTGGGGCTTATTTTTATCCTTCTGTCTATACTAATAGCAACAGTCTACCAGGATTTATTTGAATCTTTCTAGGTTCTCATCAGAGGAGGCGACTAAGTCCCCTGTTTGTACATAGAAGTTCTCGAACTGTACATCGGTGTCAATCTGACTAATCTCCGTACGAAAATCGCAAAACTTGGGTCCTAGAGATAACTCTTCAAGTTGTAGTTTGCCAAGAGTCACACTAGAAAAGTTATGGACGTACCTTTCTGGATTAGCAAGAAATCTACATTCGGGAGTTCGGCTTTCTAAGCCTTTCATAAGTTGTGTTCGTCTTTTCGAGGAGTTAGATTCGGCGATTTCATCGACATATTCCATAATTTGTAGTCTCATATCCTCTGCAAGGTCGAGAAGTGCATAATTCCTTTGTGATATATTTAATTCTAGTTGTGTGATGTCGCACTGTATTGATTCGAGCTGATTAAGTGCATATTCTACGAATGATGAATATGTATCGAATTTATAAAGGATTGTATCCAGAAATCGAATCAATACAGTGTGACATCACACAACTAGAATTAAATATATCACAAAGAAATTATGCACTTCTCGACCTTGCAGAGGATATGAGACTACAAATTATGGAATATGTCGATGAAATCGCCGAATCTAACTCCTCGAAAAGACGAACACAACTTATGAAAGGCTTAGAAAGCCGAACTCCCGAATGTAGATTTCTTGCTAATCCAGAAAGGTACGTCCATAACTTTTCTAGTGTGACTCTTGGCAAACTACAACTTGAAGAGTTATCTCTAGGACCCAAGTTTTGCGATTTTCGTACGGAGATTAGTCAGATTGACACCGATGTACAGTTCGAGAACTTCTATGTACAAACAGGGGACTTAGTCGCCTCCTCTGATGAGAACCTAGAAAGATTCAAATAAATCCTGGTAGACTGTTGCTATTAGTATAGACAGAAGGATAAAAATAAGCCCCACAGTATACTCACAAAAGAGCATCGAGAAGCTGTTAAAAGACTAAGACGAAATGAAAACATAGTTATTACCAGGCCGGATAAGGGACCGGGAATTGTAATTATGGATAGGCAGGACTACATCAACAAGATGAACTCCATACTAGCTAACGGCAGCAAGTTTCAGAAGCCGAAAGCAATGAAAGATCATACGGAGAAAGTGGAGAGAGAGATAACAAACTTATTAAAGGATTTGAAGGGTAAAGGGTATGTATCACCAAAAACTTTCGAAAACATAAAACCCACAGAGAGCACCATCTCACGTATATATGGTCTACCGAAAGTGTATAAATCAGAAGTGCCCCTACGCCCCATACTAGATATGTCTCTTTCACCCTATCACGAGACCGGGAACGTAAAAATTGGCAATACACCCCCTTCTGTCTATTACTGTGACTATCCCACTTTTAGTTGTTATTATATGATTGATTTTAATAATTTGATCACCCATTTATTCCTATCTTTCAATATTTAAATTGGGATAATCAGCAGAATATTGGTAACTTCTTTAGCTAGACCCTATCCTGCAACGGCATTAGTTCTTGTTTGTCGAACAGAAAACTCTGGTGCGATCAAAGGTTGATAAATGCCCTTCCTATATTAACACTAATTGTGTATACAAATCTACGTGTACCGGCAGGAGCAGTTACATTGGGAGAACAGAAAAAAAGGCATATCTCAGACTCTCTGAATATGTACCAAAAAGTTAACGTCTCAATGGGACAAATGCTTTGAACAGTGACAGTGCCAGATATCCTGTTGACACGGGTCGTGAGGTGGAAATCTTGACATCCCTGAAGATTGTTTAAAGACAGTATAACTCATCTCTCCTCAGATTTGCCGAAGCAATCGCTATCAAAAGTTTAAAACCTGACTTATGTGTTCAGAAAGATTCACGTATTAGTCTTTCCTTGTCTTGATGGCCCAATGTCTAATCTCTTTGTGTCAAGTGACTGCATAATCTTCTGTTTTTACCCTACCACCCCACCCCCATTTTTGCTTCGATGGAATTCAGTTCTTTTTCGTTTCTACGACTTGCGTTAAACTCACTACACTGCTACTCATCATCAACTTCTCTCCTCTTGTCTTGACCATACAACTCAATTTTCAAAGTATCCGACCATTAAATTTTGCGTGTTTGTATTTTGTTTGAACCTTGACCTCCATTATAAGTTATATGAGTGGATTTTCTGATATATATATATATATATATATATATATATATATATATATATATATATATATATATATATATATATATGGGAGAAGTCTCATGCATTCCTCACCTTTAAAAATCAAAAAGTGTAGATAAATGCAGAAAGACTCTGACAGGTACAAAATGGATAGCCGGCAAAATTTATAGATAAAACTAAGAGTGCAGAACAGATGCCTGAAATAAAAACCACAGCCTGGTTAAAATGTCGCTTACAAATGTTTCAATGAAAAATCCAAGAAATGAAATCCAATATTGGCTAAGGATTCTGATGTCAACTTAACTGAATGTCAGAGCTTGTTCACCTCTGATATTAAAAATGCTATGTCAATACCTTTATTGCATATGATGAATGTATTATTATTCATGTTTCTTTTCTACAGATGAAAACTTTCAATTGTCGGTCGTAACACGTTATTTTGTAGGCTTCTAATAAATTAGTGTGTAAGAAGTGGGCCGCATAGTGACTAAGTTACCGCCTGAGCTATTTGTCCGTACACTGTTATAGCACATTAAAAGTACCATACGGTAGTAGTTCTCCGAAGTGGTGGATTGGAATACCCACATTTAAATTTTTACCACCAATAATGTGAAGTAGGAGGTAAACATTTCTCGTGGGACACATTATTTGAATAGAACATTAAACTATAAACACATAATCCTCTCTTCTGACACACTCCCCTTATCAAATTAACAAGTTCAAACGGGTCTGGTAGACTATGGATAGTGAGATGATTGGTAGAATAATATCTGTGAATCATCCGGTGGCATCAGGAGGACAAGTCAATAAATTTGAATCAAGCAGTGCCACCTCTTTAGAAATTATCTACAAGTGCCAAATAGTACAAGGGGTGTTAAACTCTGAGAATTGTGCATGGTGTTAGCGATTTAATAGATTCAAGCTCGAACTCTGTGTGCAGAAAAGGTTTGTCTTGTCTCTCATTCCACTAGGCTTAAATTCTTCTACTCTGAGTGAATAACCCGTCATTATCATTCTTGGGATTTTCATTTAACGAGTTTTTTTTCACCTTCACAATTGTCAAGTGGACACTCAACGAGTTTGCTCCTCATCTAATGACAATTTTCATATTATCCGATTTCAAATCCTTACTTCTATTTTCTTACTGATTATGTGATTTTTTTACCTCCGGAAACGACTTTTGGGTCATTGCATCAGCAAGACCACTCCTCCTCTCTATTATTAATTAGTAAATATGGATATGATTAAACAGCCGTTGGAGATGATTTTGTCAATAAAGAAATCTTTTGCTGAATTGTAGTTTGTTTTCTTCGTGAGTCAGTGAGTATTTCCAGTCTTATATGACAACACCAACACACTCTATAAATATGTACCACAACCCACGACTTCAATTTTTCTTGTAGCATATTTGTGGAACAAGTGAAATGCTTAGAGAATAAACACTGACAAAGTTATCCTTATACCAACGAATGACAAGGTCGACACTAAATGACAATAACAGATCAAAAATGATTTACCATCCATTATTGACTGGCCGTGCACCAGCTCGATAGCTCCAAAAGGAATAAGCTTCTCGACGGTCTGGATAAAAATGACGATATGTGTCGATTAAATTGGCAGATGACAATAGCTTCGTGAAACCTTGTCTTTCTTGATCCGTAAACCCTGCCGTCTTGTGATTTGAATCCGGGCGAGCCAGATCTATTCATCAGATGAGAAACACAAAAGACTAATAAGCAACCAATAGATAAACACAATACGATAGCCTTTGAACTGCAAAGACAAGAAATCTGAAGTACGCATAAACACAGCAGAATCGAGTGCCAAGCGTTAAATGATAACACTTTTAGTTGGACAGGTCATTGAGATACATGTGAAGACTCCATATTAGTTTGTTTATTAAATATTATTACATGACGTTTCGAACACAATTTATTCTTTATAATCGTATCAGCTATAACCACACAGCTTCAAAACTTTCATTTTCGAAAATTACACACAAACCACCACAGTATCCAACTTTTACACACATTATGTAATGACTGCTAAAAATTCGATTCGCTAAGAAACTGAAGTTATGGACACAATCTGATAAAACAACAAAATGCACGTAGAATAACCGCAAAACAGAATTATGATATAACTCGATAGCCTCGGAGAAAATTTATGTATTAGGTTTGAAGAACGGTTACACTACTTTAAAAACTTTATATACTACGCTGCACAAACTTCAGCTGAATAATAATAATAAGTACTAAAGCTGTATAACATGCGTTTTTACTTTATTAGTTTCCTTCATCGGCAAACTATACGTGTTTATTTAATAAAAAACTATGTTAATATATGTGTAAAACTTGGGCACTGTGGTATTAAGTAATTCCATATTAGTTTGATCACTGTGTGATACATTTAATGATCAAACTAATATGGAATTAATAAAAACTAGTCGACCGATAAAATAACCCCGAAACAGCAACCTCACCAAATTACTGAACTACCAGAATTTCCATCTATCAAAACACTTAAACTATTCTTCATTTATTGTTTTAATCAGGGAAATGTGTCAGGTAATCACTACATAAACTCGAGCAAATTTAGTTAGCTTTCAGAGAAACGCTGTGAGATTCACGTAGGAAACCAAGAAATAATGAACATAATTGGTTCTGTCTTCGTATGCAACAACACTACTTTGCACGACATACTTCAAGTTATTACTTTACATGTAAATCCTGTACGAAGACGAAATACACTGAGAATTTCTGTACCATGTGTGTACATATCGTCTCAAATAAAGCTTTATTAATACTACTATAGTGAAAGGTCGATTTTGAAACAGTAAAAATCAATTTTATCATATTTATATATATATATATATATATATATATATATATATATATACTTAACAATCTTTTAGCAAACGATTTATGGAAGTCACTTATTCTGAGACTGGAGTACATGTAAAGTTCCATACACATTGATCAAGATGACCGTATATCACACTTCTTTGAAAATGATTCCTAAACAGTTTCATCGAATTTTTAGGTGTATCACTTACAGGATTCACAATTTCTGATGAGTGATTCAGACAGACGAATTAATGTAGAACTCAGTATAAGTACGATTTAAGTTGCGCTACTAATCAAACATACAAAATGATATTACAGTGAACAAAGACAGGTCTGGCAGGAGAGATTACAATTAAATGAAAATTGGTACAAGTTTAAAGAAATCATTTATGGTCAGAGACTTATTTTGTAGTTTGTAAATCCCAGTGAAGACAGCCGACCACTAGTCTAAGTCAATGGTGTTTCTTGGTATTACTAGCATCTGTATAATTGGGAGTGCATCAAACCAACCAGCTGACGCGATACAGTTACTTCATCTCGCATGCACAGGACAGTGAGACACGACCTTTGAGACAGTTGATGGCACTACATGTCTGCCTAAACGTCGATAGAGGGATTTCAAACATGAGATGCAATGACTTAAGTCTGAGCACCTAAGCACAACGAGTACACTTAAGTCCTATATTTTTCTAATAAACACTACTAGTGTAGTACCAAATATTCTACGTTTGGTTGGCTTTATCCTTTTCAGTTATCTTTATTTCAGCTAGCAGGATTTCACCTGATGTAAAGTTACTTCAAGCCCGTTGAGGAAATCTGTGGCTTTGTCAGCTTGCCGGATTTGCCGTGTTTCCGTAACTATTGCTCGAAAAGACCACTGCAGAATTCAGTTGTGAGTAATGAACACTAAGTTCACTTACGGTAATTTTAACTTAATACTTAACTTTCATACAGAATAAGCTGAATATATGACATGCCGTCTTGGATGTACTTCATTTTTTGCAAGGAGTACATTTGAACGCACTCACCCATTATTTCTACGTAACGACGAATGGTTATATTTCAACCACAAGAAATTTTTTGGTTTCTATCAACCCACCGTATACAACTGAAGAACATTCTGTTCGCAACTAGCAAATGACACGACTGATCAATGCACTAACTATTTAACGAAGTTGTTCACTTTGAATAAAACCAAAGCAATAGCTGAAGCAGAATATGACCGTCATTTTATTCAGCTGGTTTTGAGTAAGTGCCCCAACCTATAAAATCTTGTTTAATTTTTTTTTTATTTTTGATTACAGCTTGATTTCACACTGTATTTTTGGTACAAGTATGGAATTTTCAGCATGTGATATCGGTAGCCGAAATTTCGCAGGCCAACCATAGATATCAGGTGTGCGTCGGCAGGGGATCGAACTCCGGACCATGTGCATGGTCGACGAGAGTCCCAACCACTGTGCTACCGACGCACAGTAACTTATAAAGTACTTGGAGCACGTCAGTTCATATCAGAATCTATCATAATAAACAACACCCGCTAAGAAATAACTAGTATTTGAATTAGCTTAGATCTGTGATTAAGACATAGAACTGAAACTGCCTGTTATGATAGTTTCTCACGTGAACTACTTTTATGTTTATGTGCATATACCTGGAATTTTTCTAAAACGTAAGCCAGGTGATGTAAGAACTTACTCTGATGGAATTATCTGTCAGGACTGTCATACTCGTGCAACTTCTATAACCATCATCACGGGTAAATCGTTGGTTTGGACTCACACCGGGATCGAAACAGCTAGATTTTGCCACCCCCCATACAATAAACGTGACTCGTAGCCAAAACTCCTGGTTGCTGAGTGATACACTAAGTATTTCTGTTCAAACACACATTCCTCCTTATGAGTCTGAATAAAGAAGAAACAGCGGCTGGGAAGAATAAGGTTATATTATTTTATTCCATTGGTTTATTGTTAGCTAGGTTCCTCCTGACTATTTTACTGCACACACCTTGACAAAGTGTAAAATTTACTTCTTACTGTAGAAAAAAATTATTGAAAAAATTATCTCAGGATTTAATATATCATGTGTGAATAGTGAGACAGTTTATAAAGCGGCTGTAAAGCACCACAAAATATCAGTCTGCAGAATTACCTATTTCTTCATGAGCCACATTGAGGTCACCACACACAATAATTGGTTTCACAGAGTCTAGTTTACGTAAGTATTCAAGAAAATCTGGATCCCATTCCTTTTCTCGGTAGGAGAGGCGAACCAAGCCTTGTCCTGAGTTTGGCACATCTTAAGATTATTTAATAATAAGATGAACATACATGCAGTGATCAGGTAGAACTTTTCATACTCTGCAGTAATAACGCGTCCTTCTTCGTCATGCATCTTTTTCCCTATCCCAAAAGAGACCTTAAGTGGAGGGGTCTTGCTGAATAAGGCAGTGCCAGCATAACCAGCTTTTTCTGCAGATGACCAGAATGATTGGTAGTGGGGTAATTTGGCTTCGGCAGGTATTTTGTCCAATGGACATTTTGTTTCTTGTATGCAGCATATGTCTGCATTCTCTTTTGTAAGATACCCAAAGCCACCATTCTGTTAAAATGTATTATATAAGTCTATACTTTGATGACAGCACGTATCCCGTTTACGTTCCAAGTGACTATCTTGAGGTTCCAATGGGTCGATGAAGGCTTAGCTAATTCCGGCGCTGAACCAGGATACTTAGTACACCAATTTTCCTTTTTCTTCTACGACCTAGATGGATCTCAATTACCTTACCTCGGATGATTCTTCTCCTTTCTCAGTTGACTTCTCTTTCCTAGGCTTCTTGGATGCCCCTTTCTCATAATTGACACTCTGTACCAAGTAAAATTGTTTGATCTAATCGAACTCTTAAAGCAACTTACAGAACTCTTCTTTGAGCGCATTTGAAAACCAGTATTTAAAATGCCTCTTATTCTGAAGGTCATATTCAGACTTATCCAATATATTTATATAAAACAACTTCTGCAAAATTCATGTTCAGAACGGAAAAGTTGAGAGATACCTTACGCTGTGTTTGCAATTTGTTATATTTATCTATTTCAAGACCTAAATGAAGTCGTTCAGTGATGGGACGGAGACCATTTAATGTGGTAGAGTCCCAGTTGGTGAAGATCCTATATGTGAATCTAAAACACAGCATTTAAGATGAGGTGCAAAATATTCTGAGTAGGGTGTTTAAATACAACCCTCATTACAACATGACGTAGTTTAAAGTCTAGTCTTACAATAATTCCTATATCCTTTTTCCAGTAAAATCAGGCTGCTGTTTTCTCCCGGAAGTGCAACGTGTAAGGTCTCCTACCAAGGTGCATCACTTCACTTTTTCTGCATTAACTTCCAAAGGTCAGAGGTTAGACTATTGGATTCATTTATTTAGACAAGACTGCACGGTCGATTGGTCATTGCTATTATATGCAGTTTACAGACCTTAATATCATCAGCGAAAAATTATCCTGTAAATGCAGGGATTTTTAGTTATTCATTTATCTATGTTAGGAATAGTATGGGAATCATGACATCATTTTTTGTAACCCATTCTATATCGCTTCTCACCCAAACAGCACACTTCGCCATTACCACACTTCCCTATCTAATAGGTAGTCCCTAAACCAATTACGTAGACACTGTTCTAACCGAAACCCCTTTATTTTGCTGAGGAATTTCTAACAGGACACCTTATCGAATGCTACGTTACTATGGATGGGAACTACGCCCATCTGTAGACTGCTGTTCATGCATTCCACCAAATTTTATCCAGCTATGTGCGTCGGTGGCACAATGGTTAGGACTCTCGTCGACCATGTACATGGTCCGTGGTTCGATCACCTGCCGACGCACACCTGATATCTATGGTCGGCCTGCAAAATCTGGGCCACCGATATCCATGCTGAAAATTCCATACTTGTACCAAAAATACAGTGTGGAATCAAGCTGTAATTAAAAAACACTAAGTTTCCAAAGTAGCATCGTCCTTGTTCAAATTATTGATATTTCTTTACCAGTCTGCCATGTTCCTCCATATGACCTAAGAGCTAACCGCTTATGATTCTTTCTAATACCTTTCCCACAATATTAGACTTACTGTCATAACTCTACTTGTTGAGGAGTGTACTCATGGTAAAATCCTCAGCCACTTGTTCCTCTGGCTACTCAAATTATAATAATTAGAAAATTACCGGTCGGCAAGTTATATCCTTCTTCCTAACTTCGTATCTGGCTTATACAGTTGAGTGGCATTTCTGAAAGGTCACATAAATTGCCAGCATCAGCAGCTAACAAAACGTGATAGTTCAGTCCTCAGTTCTACAGGTAATTTGATCTGCCAATAATTCTTTCCCTAGTTTTGCTAGATATTTTTCACAGGTTGGGGATTCAGCCCTTCTAACTCATCCTCCAGACTTAATTGGCTTCGTGTTAGTATTCGCGCTATCAACTACAGTTTGTGGATACCTGTTCAGCACTATGTTGGGAGGATCTTTGTCTAGATAGAAAAAGTGTTGCCGGCGCCTTGCCGTAACTCTGAAGCGTCCTTCATATGGCGGACTAAAGCATCGTTGAGTTTTGTCACATCTCACCCATACACTGGAGCAGCAATCCAAGGCGTTTTTCATGTATATCGCGCCTAGTTTTTCTCGAGAGGTAATTGGCCTGAAGTTAACTATCTGTAGCCGAAGTCTCTCAACATATGTAGCCTGGCCAAGTCTACTTCTCCCAACACCAGAAACGGCAAATTCAGTGTACTTACGAATATTATTTCTGCAACGGAATACTGGATATCCGTTGTCAGCCACGTCCCATAAACCGTCAATGCCCGGCTCTTGCTACGCTGGGACTCACTCTGTTCCTTGAAGTTTCTCAGAAACCCTTAGTAATAACGGCAGCAAAATCAAAACACCGATTGGCTACTCGAGAATTGTTTATTGTAACACCAACATATATCCAACTTTAAAATTAAGCTTTAACTAAGGTCTATGAACAAATATTACAATAAAAAATCACAATATTACTTCTAACAGTTTTGATCTGACTTCTTTCCGAACAGCGACCGATGAGACGATGACTGGTGTCAATGGAGTTGAAGATTGAACGATCAATTCTTGGTTGTTTGCTCAAAACCAACTTCCCCAATTTTCGCGGAGGCATCATTATGACAGTCATCGTCTCATCGGTCGCTGTTCAGAAAGTAGTCAGGAGAAAACCGTCAGAAGAAATAGTGTGATTTATTATTGTAATATTTGTTCACAGATCTTAGTTCAGTTATTATTTTTATATGTGTGTGTTACAATAAAGAATTCTCGAGTAGCCAGTCGGTGTTTTGGTTTTGCGTCCGTTATAACTAAGCGTTTCTGAGAAACTTCAAGGAACAGCGTGAGCCCGAGCGTAGCAAGAGCTGGGCATTAACGGTTTATGAGACGTGATTGACAGTTTCTGACGATAGAAACAGATTCTGGCGGATTCAGATAGCTGGTAGGAGATTGGATAGTTACCGTTCATCATTCCTGGTCAAGTCCTCTCTGAACAAGCAATATCTGGAACATTTTTGGAATTGGGTCAAGCTCAACAATGCCTGGGTCAAAGAAGGGACAGAGTGTCTTGGATGCGAACAGGAAAGTAAGTCATGGTGACTTGTCTGTTAATTGTAACGATGTGTCTGATGTTAAGCATGACATGGTTGATGTTACTGTTTCGCCGTTCAGGGATAATAGGAACATCAAACTCCCTAAATTAGAACCACGGTGTTTTGATGGAAACCCGGCTGATTATTTACAATTTGTGAAGGAGTTTGAGATCATGTTGAGTAGTTTTCTATTAAGTGATGAATTCAAGTTAATGTATTTGATGAGATATTGCACTGGAGATGCTTCAAGAGCTATACAGTGTTGTAAGTTTATGAAGCCAAAGGAGGGCTACTACGAGGCTATGAGCATATTACGCCAAAGGTTTGGAAGACCTTCGATGATTGCAGGGAAATTATTCGAGGCTGTTAAGGGTAATGGTGGTCAATTACAGGATTACTCCAAGGCACTCAATGAGCTTTTGGATAATCTGTTCACTTACAAGAATGCATTGATTTCGATGAATCGCATGAGTGACCTCAACTCGAGTTTTATACTAGAAGTAATAGCAAGATGCCTACCTACTCGACTGCAAAGGAAGTGGGTGAAGATGAGCTCCCGTATGGAGGATGAGGGTATCGAGCCAAAGTTTGATGATATCCTGAAACTAGTAAAAGATAGTGTCAATCAATCTATGAGCTAGTTTGCCAGTATATTGAATCTCACCCCTAGAATAGAGCAGTCTGAGAGCAAAATGCAATCATTGATGACGAGTAGGCCTCAGAGAGGTGGATATCGAGAAGGCTCCATGATGTCCAGTAATGCATATAGACCTAATGAGTGTAACAGGTTTCGTAGTACATCCTCAACAGATGAGTTACAAGATGCAAGACAAACACGGTTGTGTTTTACACGTGTGCAAGTGGTGCATACAGAAGTGAACTGTGAACCGGTGAGCAAGTTCAGTGATAAGCTAAATGTAAACTCCAGGCATGACTCCGAATTGTGCGACGATAACGGTGTTGTGAAGAAGTTTGTAGTTGCAACTGGTAAGCCATTGTTGAATAGAGTGTCACAGAATAGAGTTGCTGCTTCAGAGTGGATTTCTGAATCCACAAGTTTACAAAGTATATCTAGTCAGAGTGAAGTTACAAAACCTTTTAGGATTTGCGAGGAGGAACTAAAATTGTCTACTTCTGTTATTAAAGAGTTTGAAAATGATGAAGTTGACGGTAAAATGAATATTCGTGATAATGATCATGATACTTCACAGTTGTCTTTGGTTGATCATGATGAGATGAGGGATATGCCTACTACTGCTAAGTTGAACAAAGGTTCTGTACAACTTGAACGTGAAGTAGAAATAAATGCAGATTCAGTTGCAGAAGGCACGCATACTTGTGAGACCGTCAGTGTGATTGATCAGCATGTAGCCCACCTATCATCAGGCGCCAGTGCTAAGCCTGAGCTGATAGTAAAAGACACCAGTGGTGGTGGTCTTGCAGGTAGACAAATTTCTGAAAGCCGAAAAAGAACAGCTTCTGATCCACCGCTAACTTCATCACCTTGTGTCACTCAGTCATCGTTGGTGTTTTCATCCACAATGAAACAGATGCCCATCAACTCTAGTATCTTCTACAATGACTATGGTAGTATCAGTTCGTTTGAAAGGACGAATATCAATGGTCAGTTTAGTGTGGATAAGCCAAGTGTAAAGGAGAGAGTAATTGTTAAATTGACTTGCACGAATAAAGGCATTTCTAGTTTCAAGTTACTAATTGAATGTTATTATTTTTGGTGTAAATTACTCTGTTTCTATACTTGGTTGATGAGATATGTCGTGTGTTTGTTCGTCATCTATATTCTACGATACAGTGACATGAGCGTGTTACCATTCAGATTTGAGGATATAGCTGATAGAAGGAAGTCAGCAAGTGAACTCTGCAACGGTTTTCCAACCTAGAGCGTCAACCTGAGAAGGAATGTAGGCGTACTACTGTAAGTCCTACAGTTCTTCAAGGGTAGTTTGTCGTGCCAGAATCCACAACATTTGATGTGTTGATTGTACATATGTTTGTGTTAAATAATTGTGTGAGTTCCAATTATTGTAATTGTTGGTTAATCTTGTTTGTGTCTGAACATTCCACAACTTACAATCGTCAACCTGTGAAGGTTTGTAGGCGTACTGGTGTAAGTCCTGCAATTCTTCAAGGGTATTCCATCAAGACATGAAATGCGAGTTTGTGTGTACTGTTTGTATATACGTGTGGTGTGTCATATCAATTGGTGTTATTTGAATTCATTGTGTTTACTCGTTGTTTTCGTAT